ACACTTTTTAACCCTAAGTTTACCCAGAAACACTTGGATGCCATCCTCAAAGCCTTCAGGAGAAAAGATCTGCCTTCAAGTCAATACTATGCTTGGTCTCACACTGCAGGTGAAATAAATATGTTTAGTAAGTGGCAATTGGAGTTATTTATTCCTAAATGAGAAGTCATTCCAAGTGCGTTATCTTCAATGTCACAACCCAACAAATGTCATGGCAGTATGTTCAGGCACTTAACAGGTAAAACACAGTCAGGGTATTTAGAACTTATGCACTGGTATAGAATAACACCAAGTGTTTAAAAGCAACATAAACATCAGATGAGCAAGAGGTTCTTTCAACAGCTGAACACAGACTTTTGAGGCACAGACCACCATAAATTTGCTGATGCAAGCTGAGAGATACTCTACACATATGAGTATCTCTATCCAGACAGTAACCCTGTTTTGACCACCTTCAAAGCCCTCCTGGCTCTAAATGGTTAATCTTACACCTTCTCAAAACCCCACCTGGCTGCTCACATGTCAGATCTTCTCACAAGTCCTGTCCTTGTGCAGCTGATTTCACTTCCCACATTTCTACAATATCCACCCACCGCTATTATCAGTAGGTATTTGTTCAATAACTCTCACAACCAGACCCCTGTATTTGTAAGGAATACAGTGGAAACATCATGCATTAATGTCTAAGCAAATGGATGCCTAATGTCTAAGCAAATGTCTAAGCAAACGGATGTGCAGAGAGGGCTTGTGGCAACACCACAGAAAATACAAAGGAGACAATTCTGTGTATTCCTGTGATAGCAGGGAGGCTGTAGTCAGTGCTGAACTGGAAAGGGAAGCTTACCCTTGGCATGGTTTACCCAAATGCAAGTACCACATTACCACAATAGTTTTTATAATAAATGCACTTCTTTTCATGCTATTTCATAAAGAAATGCATGATCTTCTGAAAAAAAAAATTGGTTTAATAACTGGCTACAGTCTAGTCTAACTTACTGTTTTAAATTAATTCTTTGGAGTAAGCCTTTCTATTGCAGAAAGGCAAGACGTTACCAAGTTCACCTTGACCATCCAAGCCAAATTCTTCTCATTTCTCTTTGTCAGACACCATTGCTGTTTATCATCCTCAGCAGCCCTTTTCTACACCTCTTTTGGGTTCATTTTAGCTCAGTTAAATTGGGTTCCTACCCTACACCAGTGATCAAGAATATCCTCCCGACGTATTTTAGGTTTGCCCCTCTCACAGCAGCATTACCCTAACTGCACACTGTATGACTAAATAGCTTTTGCAAGCATTTGCCATTTCAGTTTTCTGTTACAAACCAGGACTGATCAAATTTTTGGTTATCACTCCACAAGACTCTAACCTTGTACTGACGTGACTCAGTTTTTACAAGGTGATCTTGCTTTCCTACGTAAATGCCCTTCCTCTGCAACAACTATACCTCTGGTTTTGTCATCAAAAGATCCTACTGGTGCTACTTTTATAATGAAAATTAACCAAGTCAATGTACCTTCTCTTCAGCACTCCTAAGTTCTCTCCTTCCCCAATGGTTTCTTACCATCTTCATTTGCAAAGCTGCTTCATCACCAATTCCTCATTTTTCACTAACAAATGCAATCTACTAAACCTTTTTTCTCTTGGGAGGCAGTTATCTCTTAAAATATTAGTGCAAGTTCATCTCCTTCTGGAGAAACAGAGTAACAGACACCTACGTTTGTATCTGTTTAACTTCATATCCTTAGCTTTTCATCCAAGGGGCATTCCCAAGCCATGCATAATGCACATTACAAAAAACCTAGCTTCCCTTAAGTCTCAACATCTTACTCTCAATTACAACACCCTTGGAATAAGCGCGATGTTCCTGAAAACCTGCATCCATCCGTGTTTCAGTATTCATCCCGGCTGTCACAAGGTTTGGTGATGAGGTGTATGAGATGCTACAATTCTACAAAGCACTGACAGTTAGCTACGTAGGCAACTGGTGAGCGAGCCACGCTTCCTCACCCATGAGCTGTAACCCACAGCTCTGCTCGTCGCTGGCTGCTGCATACATTCAGAGCATGATCCGAGATGACTGTCTGCTGAACCTGAATGAGCGTTTTCAACTGCTGCTGTACCTCCACTCCTACACACGTGAGATATATAATACAGCACACGCACTAAAGCTGTTAGTGCGCATTAGGAAATGAAATAAAACAGAGACAGGAGATATCAAGTACACTTGAGAGTACTTCCTTGTGCTCATCACCCATGACCATCTGTAACACAGATCAGATCCTCGAATTAGTCATTTCACAAAACAAGTATCTTTACTGTCTGCCCACCGGGGCTGCATTTTCAGAACGCAGCTACAAATGCTGTGCTTCAAGTTTTACAGGAATCAGATCTGCCTTCACACAGTCGGTGTTATGGTTTTGAGAACAGTACAGGATATGCTTCTGAAAGGCCCACACAGCACTGACATGCTTGCAGAACTGCGGCACTCCTCCCCCCCAGTGTGTGCTGTTTTCTCACGAGTACTATGGCAATGAGAGCTTGTTTCCAAAACGGCATTCAGCTAGCGTTTCTGGTTTTGGCTCACAGACGTTTTAAAACACAAACAACTCCCCCCGCCCCCAGCATAACAGCACTCAGCGTTTGGATGTTGGTGCCTTGCCAACTGCCAAGGGTAGGAAACTGTGTGTTTGCACAGCACCTCTCGAGTGGGGCTGAAACTTACTGCAGAAAGAGAAGCGATAGGCAAGTGAAATACGAGAAACTGATGCCCAAAAAACTATAGGTAGTTTCACTGGTATTCTCACTACGATGGGTCAGACTGCGCACACACACTCGTGTATTACACAGATGCACGAGCATACTTTTCAGGTGGAGGGACTGAAGCAGACGAGAAACACTCCCCCATCCTCTCTGGACCACCCAACCTACACCACTACGCTCCACAAGACCAACCCCACAGAGCCCCCCCTACACATCGGAGAAGCGAATCCCCTCATCCAAGGCACGGCGGTTCCGGAACCCAGCAGGGTCCGCAGTGGTCCCGGGGATACGGCTCAGAGAGGAAGAAGCCGCACCATTAAAGAGCCCCAGAGACCGAGACTGAGAAGGAGGGGAGACCCCCCTCAGGGCTCAGCAAGACGGAAGCGCCTGGCGGGCCCGACTCAGGGCGGTGACGGTACCTGGACCGGGTGGGCCTTGCTGAGGTGCATGTTCAGAGCCGGGCTGTTGGGCAGGACCTTGCCGCAGCCGGGCACGGTGCACAGGATATTGGTCCTCACTTGGGACAGCTCTGTCACCGAGGGCCGCACCAGCTCGCCGGCGGGCGGCAGGTCCCCCACCGGCAAGGACACAGGCACGGGCGCCGGTGGCCGGCCCAGCGTCCCGCCACGCCGCCCGGCCGCCGCCGCCGCCATTTTGCTGTCAGCTGCTCGCTCCCCGCTTCCGGGCGCGGCCGCCAATACCCGCCGCGGTGAGTGAACATCCAGCAGGAGCGTGGGGCGGCCCCGCCTTCTGCGTCACCGGGCGGCGGTGGTCGGGGCGCTGAGGGGAGGAGGAGCCATTACTGCGGAGGGGCGCTGGAGGGAGGAGGAGCCATTAAGGAGGCCGCGCAGCAAGCGTCGGGAAAGCGTCTCCACAACGGAAGCAAACAAAAAGGACAGAATAATGGTGGGGGTGTGAGAATACGAGGAGCTGGGGCTTTTCCCACAGGGAGAGCGCTTGTGCCAGCCTCAGCCCCGTCACCCTCCCGTGGTGGGGGTAAGTAGGCATGTCTGACGTTCACTTGTGCTGTTCCTGTAACCTTCATTACAGGAAGTTAGAGGGACAAATGTACATTAGAGACACCTACTTTGCAGTTGTTACAGGGGAGAGAGGCTGCCTTTCCCAGATCACAGACAGGCCGTAGGCTAGGTAACCCACACTGTTCTAAGGGGTATTTCAGAACTTTTACCTTTGCGGGAGTCAATTAAATGCCTGAAGTATGTCATTTAGGAGAAAGCATTTGGAAGTTGCACAGAGGATGCATAGGGGAATGTTAATGGTCTGGGTCCTGGAAGGCTCTCCAAGGGTGCAAGTTGGCAAGAGACAACTCTATGTGTCCTGTATAGTCTGTGTATTAGAAAACCTGGAATTGTTTCATCCAGGTTCGATGGAGTCTTGGGTGACATGGCCTATTGTGAGGTTTCCCTGCCCAAGGCAAGGGGTTGGAGCCAGATGATCTTAAGGTCCTTTCCAACCCTAACTACTGTATGAGTCTATGATTAATCATACCATTATGTTAAGTGTTTTCATAAACTAACATTTACATCCAGAGAGGGAAGTCTTAGAAATATAGCAGTAGCCTGTAGTCCTCAACTAACTTATTTTTACGGGCGAGATAGACAGAGATGCTGAAAACCAGAACAGGCCAAAAATCAGTATATGTTAAGTCATGTTTCTGAGTCAGGCAAAACAAGCTTCTCTTGAGAAGATTTAATTTACACATTTATTTAGTTTCAGAAGAAAGACATTCCATACAGCCTCTGAAAATATTTACACTGTGCTGTGAAGTTACAAAGACTCTCTGCACATTGATGTATCTGAAGTGTACCAGAAATTCCCTACACACGAAGTAGCTGCATGAAGGTAACAGAATTAAACAGAATTAAAATTAAACAGAATTAAAACCTGCCTATTCAGATCACATTCATGTCAAATTACAAATGATGCAGCAAATTACATGGAAATAGCTATCTAATTATTAGTTGAAATATACCAACCCTATTGAATTCCAGTGCAATGCTGCTCTTCGCAGTGGTTGATGTTTCCATCTGAAGTTTGGAATCTTCATGTCTCCAAGCACCACAAGCTGGTAATGTGCAAGGATTGCAGAAAGATCAAAACTTAATGGGAATATACTAAACTGTGGACTTCCACAAAAACAAAATTACAGCTTATTTCACTGTATTCACCTAGGAGAAAATTTGATTCAAAAAACCCAACCTATTTGTATGAATGTCTCATTTCCAGTATTTGTTACAGGCTGTGGCCTTCAGTGAGCAAAACCTCTGCATTAACATCAACTCAAGATGAACAGAAACCTCTTATTGCCACCTACATGCCAAGAGCCCACAATCTGTTTAAATTTCACAGCTATTTTTTTTTTCCTGGTTAATTAAGGAAAGGGCTAACCCTTCTGCTGAAAGACAAATGTGGAAAACTGATTCAGAGAAGCAATAGTCAGGAAAAAATATTAAAAAAATACAAGTTATTTTTAAAACCATGCCTTAAAATTTACAGTCGTTTAGATTAATACCAGTAATAAATGAATTGTACATTCCTCTGTGAACCAGGCTTAAATTAGGGACTTAGAAAGCCTTCTAGAAATTAATCAGTTTTATCTTTAATCCTAAAATGATTCCTAGGTCTGTGTGGTAGACAGCTAAGCAGTGGTGAAACTGGTGCATCAACCATACCTAGAGAGAAAGGCAGATAATTAGAGTTTAACCCAAAAATATTTACCTTTCATAACTGTTCTAAAACTAAACCAAAGCTTGAATATGTGTGTACAAACTAGTAATTCTAAGAACAAATTGGTATGTGTTTAGACAAAAGTTTTTAGACTGGTAATATTTTTATTCTGCTAGATTTCTAAACAAACTCCAAAGGTTCTCCCTTATGCAATATAGAAGCAGAATGTAAGATGACGAATATTTAACTCTGGATTTTTCTTCCATTTTATAGAATTAGAACACTTACTCGTTGCTGCCATCGATTTCAGTGCTTCTAAGAGATCTGGGCTAGAAAGCTTCACCAGACATCTGAATTGTTCCTTTTGATACGAAATACTGTGTTTAGGATCACTTCTAAACATCGTCTGAAGCTGTTAATACAAAATTTAACCAGGGAGTATAAGCCAGAAATATTCTACATATTATTACAATAAAATGATAAAAAAACCCCAAAGTTTTTGCATTTTTTACCTTATATTGTGCATATTCAAGTTTCGGTAGGGGACCATCACCAAAAACCTGTTGATTCATTCTCCGTTTTTTTTCATTAGTTTTTCTGTTTTCTTCAACTGTCCCTGAATTTGCAGGGGAAAAGAGTAGGGAAGGGAAAAAACAGAAAGACAACTTTGTCAGCTGATACAATATGGCTTTTCTCACCAGATTAGTGAAAATCTGAAAATAATAATTTTTAAAAGCTGAGAAAAGAAGGACAGTGATAAATTCTGTCTCCATTATTTATATTTTCATTCCTTGCCAAAAGAAAAACCCAAACTAATTAATGTCGTTTCATAAGGCAGCAGAAACAGCATTGAAACTACTGTTTAATTTAAAATATACATACCAGTTTCTGGTTCTACACTGTGTTCCTTTAGAGGTTCAGAATAAGAAGTTTGGAAGTTCTAAATGGAAAAAGGAAAAAAAAAAGTTTCGTTTATTTCCACTTTTAGAGGCTGTAGCTAAAAATATTTCCACATTTTGTTTCATTTTGAAAGTGAGCATCCTTCCAATTCTTGACAGTTATTACAAGTCAGAAAGCCCAGCTTTAGTCTGAGACAAGAACACCTGTCCTGTGATATTTGTGAACATCTTCCACACCACCCAAGTCTTGGAAGACAGAACAGGGACTGTCAGAATGATAACCCTAAGCCCACTGTAGGAGAGGATCTGGTTCAAGACCATCTTAAGAACCTGAAAGTACACAAGTCCATGGGAGCTGATTAAATCCATCGTGAGTCCTGAAGGAGCTGGCAAATGAAGTTCCTAGGCCACTCTCCATCATATGTGAAAAATCATGGCAGTTAGGTGAAGTTCCTGATGACTGGAAAAAGGGAAATATAACCCCCATTTTCAAGAAGGGGAAAATGGATGACCCAGGGAATTACAGACCAGTTTCACCTGCGTGCCTGGCAAAATCTTGGAGCAGATTCTCCTGGAAGGCATGCTAAGGCACATGAAAAACAACAAGGTGCTTGGTGACAGCCAGCATGGCTTCACTAAGGGCAAATCCTGCCTGACCAATTTGGTGGCCTCCCATGATGGCGCTACGGAACTGATGGACAGGGTCAGAGCAGTTGATGTCATCTACCTGGACTTGTGTAAAGTGTTCAACACTGTCCCACACGACATCCTTGTCTCTAAATTGGAGAGACATCAACTTGATGAATGGAGCACTCGGTGGATAAAGAACTGGCTGGATGGCCGCACACAGTTAATGGTGAATGTTTCAATGTCTAGCTGGAGACCAGTAACGAGTGGTGTCCCTCAGGGATCGGTGTTGGGACCGGTCTTGTTCAACATCTTCGTTGCTGACACGAACAGTGGGATTGAGTGCACCCTCAGCAAGTTTGCCGATGACACCAAGCTGTGTGGTTCGGTTGATACGCTGGAGGGAAGTAATGCCATCCAGAGGGACCTTGACACGCTTGTGAGGTGGGCTGATGCCAACCTCATGAAGTTTAACCATGCCAAGTGCAAGGTCCTACACCTGGGTCGGAGCAATCCCAGGCACAGCTGCAGGCTGGGCAGAGAAGAGATTCAGAGCAGCCCTGTGGAGAAGGACTTGGGGGTGTTGGTCGATGAGAAAATGAACATGAGCTGGCTTCAGTGTGCGCTTGCAGCCCAGAAAGCCAACCGTATCCTGGGCTGCATCAAAAGCAGCGTGACCAGCAGGTCAAAGGAGGTGATCCTGCCCCTCTACTCTGCTCTCGTGAGACCTAATTTGGAGTATTGTGTGCAGTTCTGGTGTCCTCAACATAAAAAGGACATGGAACTCGTGGGACAAGCCCAGAGGAGGGCCACGAGCACCTCCCGTATGAAGACAGGCTGAGAAAGTTGGGGCTGTTCAGCCTGGAGAATAGAAGACTGCGTGGAAACATCAAAGCATCCTTCCAGTATCTGAAGGGGGCGTGTAGGGTTGCTGGGAATGGACTATTTGTGGGAACTATAGCGACAGGACAAGGGGCAGTGGGTTAAGACTTAAACAGGGGAAGTTTAGATTGGATATAAGGAAGAAGTTCTTTACTGTGAGGGGGGTTAGGCACTGGAATGGGTTGCCCAGGGAAGTTGTAAATGCTCCATCCTTGGCAGCGTTCAGGGCCAGGTTGCACAAGGTCTTGGGTGGCATGGTTTAGTGTGAGGTGTCCCTGCCCATGGCAGGGGGGTTGGAACCTGATGATCTTAAGGTCCTTTCCAACCCTAACTATTCTATGAATCTATGTGTAAGTTTTACATGGATGAGCAGACTAAGTGCCTATTCCAACAGGCTTCAACTTACTGCTCTTGGAAGCCTAGTTAAATGCCAAGAAATCCTAGGACTGGATTGTTCATACAAATTTTAGATGGAGTTTAACCATCAGGAATAACAAAAAGTGTAGGTGGGATGCCAAGTAATTACATCCCTCCTGTGATGTTACCTTAATGAAAAGGGCTTGTCCACCTCAGTAGTTCAATGTTATTTTAACTTGATGGCATCTTGTAAGAGGTGAATTTTCCCCCTGCTTGGGGTTGAGAAATAGGCCCGAAACAAAAAGATTTATCTTAGGATGCATTTGGGAAGTGACTTACCTGGTTAGATCTCGCATGCACAATATCTTTAAGGGAGTTTAAACAGTGACCTTGAAGATCCATTGCACAGATGTCATAAGAATTGGAAGCAGCAAGCAGGGCCTTCAAATAAAAATTTAAATTGTTTTAACATCAGCCTTAATTATCACTATGTTTATAATACAAAAAAAAAATACAGTGTTTCTGGACTTGGTGGTGGTTTTGTTACAAGGTAAGCAGCTGTGCGCAACTAGCAAAATTCTCATGTCTGAAGAAGCAGTGAACAGACTGTTATTAAGCTTAGGTTAATATTCACAAGCATTCACAGGATTAACAAGATAAGCCCTAGAGCTTTATCAAGCTGAAAAAACCAAAGAGATAAATAATTAAACTACTAGCATGGAATTCTGCTAAACAAGGGAAAAAAAACCCCAAAAGTCAAAAAAGACTACCAGTGCTGTTCAATATACATTGACAGAAAACGTCTTTTAAAGCTACTTAATAGCATTCCCCAATGAGCTCATATATTCAATTCTTGAAGCAAACTGTTAATGTGATTGATAGTCTTCAACTTCATGAGACAATTTAACTGAATGCTGCCTAACACTCAGTTAAGAAATTAAAACAATTCAAAGTCAGCAAAAATCCCATTAAAATGACTTTATTCATGATGCAGCATTCCAAAGGGTGCAAATATTTATTTTTGCCCCATTATTACCATGAGCTAAGGGAGGAAAAAACCCCCCCAACTATGTAAATGAATAAATTACATTAAGTGACAAATCTTTATGCATCCTCTTACAAACTAACACAGTTACAACTCTACATTGACTGTGGTGAAATCAGGGTCTACAGTTCTATTTCGTACCTGACAGAGCAGAGGCAAGTTGCTCCTATATTTTGAGAGAGAAATAAAGACATAAGGAGTGCATGAACAGTATACAACATAGCTGGCTCTGTATTGGTTTGGCTCCCTATACAGTGTTCCCCAGGCAATCCTAATCCAGATTTCATTATCCTCATATTCTCTAAAGTTGATGGTGACCTAACACAGAAAGAAAAGCTTTGATTTACCAGTACAGTCAGGTGTCTGCAGAGATTTTGTTTTCTCTTAACCCTGTATTCACACGACCCAAACATAATTTAGGACACCACTAATTGAATAAGAAACAAATCCCAATAGTGTTGTAGTTAATCAAATTACCAAAGAACAATAACCTCACAAACAGGGGAGGAATAAAAAACAGAACAAAAAAGAGCTATTTCAGACTCTCAATGACTTTCCTTCCTCTCGATACACACTTTTTTCTGAAAGGCAAAAATAGAAATAGCTTATTGTAAACCCCTTGATTTCTCTGGGGAAAATGACATCACAAGAAAAAGGTGTCTATTTGGATGGAGGGCTAATGGCAGTATTTTCATTATGTCTAATTCTTGAGAAACCAAACTTTTGATCAACTTGTGATTTTTAGACCTGTGTGTAGTATTTATCAGTGCTTAAGAGTGCACAATCAGAAATCTGAAGAAGATTCCCTTTCCTGTTTTTGTAGTTTTTCACTTCTTGGTTACTTCTTTTTACCTTGACTCAATCTCAGCGACTTTAAAGAGTGGGAAAATGTCCTTAAAATGCCCAATCAACTGACCCTCCCTTTGACTGAGGTACATGTAGCCAAGCTTTTAATCCAGCTAATTAATAAACTGCTCAGATTACTGAACCAACATACCTTCTCAAAGTTTTTGTGCATTTTAAAAATTTAACGTTTAACATAACATATTGCAAAACTTTATTGTACTAGAGGTGTATGAACTGATGGTTGTATGCTAGTCTGAATTGTATTTGTTGCCCTCTACTGGTGACAGTGGGAATCCTTCGTGTGTCAAGCAGTAGCTAGAGGCAATTTCTGTTGCCTTACTTAAATGAAGCTGGTGAGCTAAAGCAAGAAAAGGCTTCTACACATTGCTTAGTAAAAAAGTGAAGCGACAGTATCTGTTTTCGACTCATTTCTGTAGTCTAGAAACTGCTCCTTGTTATTGACAGTGGACTTTCAGCCATTATAATGTAATTAAATACCAGAGCCTAGTTCTCACAGCCATCAAAAATTATTTTAAAACAAGAACTAAAAAGAAACATATAACTGTGCTACAGTTGTTACTGGGTAATGGGACAAAGCAATATCAGCTCACCTAGGCAACACGTACACTCAGGGCAAAGATTTGATGGAAAACATAAATGTGCCACCTTTCCGTCATATTTTAACGCAATTTTACATTTTATTTCACTCCAACATAATTGTAAAGTTGCAGGAACATTAGATAAAGAAACTATTGTCTATTTCACATGCAGTTCCTACCATTCCTAAATGATTAATTTGATTAATTCTTGATGCAGACTAAGAAAAATACCCCCAAACCAACCCACAAAATACTTTGCTAAAGTTCTGACAACAATCTATTGACAATAGAGCTGTGTAACACATTTAGAATGAATTTATTCTTACATTTCCCAAGGCTGAACGAAGTTTTCTTTTAAATTTTTTTTTGAAATCTCTTATGTCAAAATACACGATTTCTTTCTCTGTTACACAAGAAAAAGAAAAGAAGAAACAAGACTTGTGTTTACAAGAGCTAGGTCAGACATATATTTAGCTTTCCTGATATAAAATTAAGCAGAAAAAGCTTAAGTTGCATAGCCTTATACAAAAATCTGTATATTAAATTTGAGCCCCTGTATTGCTCTATAAAGTTTATGGTATAATTAATAGTTCCTAACTTCTAATAATTGCTTGAGAATTTAATAGAATATATTTAATATTTTTAGAATATATGTCCATTGAAAAATCCATGCTAGACTATAGTTAAATGTTTAAGTTATCTACTGAAAAAACCCAGTGGACTATATTTGGGTTTAAAATGTATGATACAGGTTAGCACTGCAGTAAGTTGCCAAGAACTCTTGAGATTACAGCAAAGAAAGACGTCTTACCTATTGGGAGAAGATGGTATGTTTTCCATGTTCTCTTATGTGCATAAGCATGGGTGTCTAAGAAAAATGGGAATTGTTCAATAACCTAGTGTATTACCAAATGGTAATTAAAGGAACAATAATTTTACAGTACTTATGACCAGGTTATTAAAAAAAAAATTAGTTCTGATAATGCAATATAATTTATTCAGCATTCTTAAAACTACTGCGCATAGCAAATATAAATGCAAAATATTTTTTTATTAAACAAGATGGGGAGATCTGGTGTAATTCAGTTAATCAACTAATAAAAGGTATCCCTGAGGTTCAATGTTTAAAGAAAAATCTTACTTATAACTACCAAAACTCAGTCTAAACTCAAACTAAGAAGTATAGATGATATGTGGCTTACCACAGTCTACATCTATTTATACCTCAGAAGAAGCAAATGTCCTTTTGTCAATTTTCGCTTTAGATTTTATTATTCTTCTTTTTAGAAAAGGTCAGATCCAGTAAGATTCATCTAAAATGTGATCTGCAGCAAATTAATCTGTACCTCTCTGGGGCAATTGCTACATATTTAAGGGTGTTATCAACTTACTCAGAAAAAATACAAAGATGGTATTTTCAATCTTTTTTAACTTACAAATCATGTCTAGGACAGCTGCTTCCTTTATGTTTCCAGGTATTCCCTAAAAAGAAGAGTAATAGTCAACTGCATGTCCAGACCATTCTATCATAATGTTTAGGAAGTGAAAATTCTCAGTACTGGGAATTCAAATGACACTGCACTAATGTCCTCAGCATGTACATTCTGCTCAAACACACCATAGCCAGTCCCGATATGAGCACAACATTCTCGAGAAATCAATAAAGCTGTTTCATCAAGGTTCAAGTGTTCCCCTGCAGAGGCAGCAATAATGTTGCCCTTATGCTATAACGTACAAGCTATTAGAAACTAAAATGAGCAGGTCTTCATGACATGATGCAACACTGCTCAGGATTCCACTGTCTGGTATTCTAACATGATTGGTTTCTCCTTATGTAACCTTTACAGCATGAAAACTTTAAGAAACTTTAGTACACCACTTGGTACAGGTCAGTTTCAGAAACAAATGCCATTTTAAAATATTACATTTGCTATCTTACAAGAGCAACTCAACAATTTCTTGCCTGCCATTTGAGCTCGACTCCACATGAAGATCGGCTGAGAAAGTTGGGGCTGTTCAGCCTGGAGAAGAGAAGGCTGCATGGAGACCTCACAGCAGCCTTCCAGTATCTGAAGGGGGCCTATAGGGATGCTGGGGATGGACTCTTCGTTAGGGACTGTAGTGGTAGGACAAGGGATAATGGGTTAAACAGGGGAAGTTTAGATTGGATATAAGGAGGAAATTCTTTCCTATTAGAGTGGTGAGGCACTTGAACAGGTTGCCCAGGGAGGCTGTGAATGCTCCATCCCTGGCAGTGTTCAAGGCCAGGTTGGACGAGGCCTTGGGTGATACGGTTTAGAGCAAGGTGTCCCTGCCCATGGCAGGGGGGTTGGAACTTGATGATCTTAAGGTCCTTTCCAACCCTAACTATTCTACGATTCTATGACTAACCTTCACGTATGAAATTCAGAGGAAATGATACAGAATGTAAGATAATAATAACTATATCTATCTAGGTTATGATTCTATACATGAAGACACATAGAAAGATACCTGGTACACCAAAATCAGAGGAGGTTAAGTCAGAGGTAAGAAAGCTTTTTTTGCTTACAGGACACAGAACAGACATAACTCTGGCCAAGCACGTTTCCAAAGTTTCTATAAAATACATAAACTAGTGCTATCATTATGCATGCCAGATTTAAATTAGCTCTGTGTAATGACTTGATAGCAATCAGTGCCTTTATATTAGAATTTAGACACATACCCATTTTTTAAAGGCTTATAACACAGAGCTTTTCTCTAGCTCGTGCAACTTGGAGCTCGTAACATGTACTTCCCTATGCAGGAAAGTTAATCCTGGAGTCATATCACAGACAAAACTGATGGCATCACCAGCTCAGTTTTACATTTTTCACACTACACAGTGACATTTGATGCTATGTCATGAGCAAACAAAATCATTCATTCATAAGAATTTGTTTTTGACAGTGCTTCAATGTGTGTCCTGTATGTTACTGAGAAGCAGCTGCCAAAGGACAAGATTACCTCACACAGCTGGAAAACATCGCAAGCGATGTTCTCCTTTATCTGACCGAAGTCTATGGCTTGCAGCTGCTCCTCCGACAGAAAGCCCCATTTCTGTAGCATTGTCTTGATTTCTTTTCGTGGGATTTTTTGTACAATTGATCGGATATACTCGGCAACAGTTTCATCCATGACTAAGCCACCTGGAAAGCTGAAGCGTGAAAGGTGAGAACCAAGGCACAGGCAGGCTCCCGCAGTTCAGGTATACAAAGCTGTACCTAACACAACTAGCAGAACGTTGGCATCGGCCTTAGGCGCGGCACTACCAGCTTTCGGCGGACACAAACAACAGCAAGTTAAAGAGCTTCCTATAGTAACTTTTCCCCACGTCCTCAGACGTGTGAGCTTCTGGAGAGAGATGGAGCGCTGGCACTCACCCGTTACTGCCCGTCCGGAATAGCTCAGGCAGCCCGCACAAACACGAAGAGACCGGCGTAACCGGGAGAAGCACCGCAACACTTCCACCACCACACACCGCGACAGAGGCAACGGCTGCACCTCAGGCAACCGACCGCCGAGAACCTACCAACTGCCGGGCACCGCCCACTTTTCGAAGCTCCCAATCGGACTGCGATGATGACGGAGCGGACCAATGACAAGGCAGCACATCTCCCGCCCCGCCCCGCGCCGGCGCTGTGAGGGCTGTTCTCCCGTCTGCCCGGTGCTCTAAGCTGGTTTCCGGTTGGGTCTGTCCCTGACAGCCGTGCCTCGGCCTAGCGCTGGCCGGAGGGCGCGTCTGTGGCGGTGCCTGGGTGCGCTCGTCCTCTGAGGACTGGAGTAAGTGTGAGGGTGGCTGAGAGGGAGGCTTTGGCCGGACCCGATCGGGCAGTGTTGTTCCTTTCGAGGCCTAAAGGAAAAGAGGAATATGTGGGGAAGCTCCATCCCCACTCACCTTCTTCTCTCCGTCCACCCACCTGGCTGTGGGGAACCGTGACGTGCCCTGCTTCAGCTTGGGACCGGCTTCTGAGGCCGGCTTCTGGGACCGTCAGATCCCGTCCTACTTTAGGGCTCGAGCAGGGCTTTCAAGAGGGCCGTTCTAAGTGGGAACATGGGGCTGTATTGCAGCCCTCGTAAGCTTGCTTTTCCCGCTGTGTATGCATATCCCATCACCAGTTTGAGGACTTCTGGAGCAGTGAGAAACTACAGACTGAAGACAGAGAGGGCTGTTAAGCGGCCCTCTCTGCTTCTGCCGTAACTGTTGAGAACACTGTAGGTGCACCAGCTCCTTTCACCAGATAGTAGAGCTGTGTTACGCTAGCAGTATACTAGCTTCTGCCAAGTGCCGTGTGCCTTCTTCCAGGGTCTGCTCAAGGAAGGAGACACTGGGTTTTCCAAATGGGGAGCATGATCCTTTTGATCTGCTATGCAGATGGTTGTTGTATGAGTACAACTTTAAATAACTGCCAGGAGGCAAAAATGCCTTACTGTACTTACCTTGTTCATTTATTTTAGCCAGAAATAGAACTTACTTGATATTCAAGTTGATCTTCAGCTTCCTTTAGTCATTAGGATAACACCTCCTTGACTTGCTTTTCAAAGTATAAAATCAGGTATGATGTGGTTTTATGAGCTACAAGTAGCAGGTAAGCACTCATTCAGCTCCTGTAAGGGATGTTGAATTGCTGGCAGAAAGTGGTCATGTAAAAAATTAAAATTGATACGAATCTTATCAAAGTTGGTTTTTTTTATTATTATTATTCTTTAGATTCAGGGAAAGTAAATGTAATCTACATAATGTAAAACATTTTAAACTGGGCATGATTTACCCCCTTTTGCATATCCTTACTATTTACAAGTCTTCATAACACATACATGTATTTAAATTGCTTCCCATTGTCATACATAATACTGAAAAACTACTGCACAGTTTTGTAGACTGATACTCAAGGGGTTATGACATTTTTAAAAGACTTAGCTAAACTTGGTTTATTAAGGTGAATTTCTAATTTTCTTGAAAACGGTGGAAAGTTGAGGGTCTTTCTCGATGTGCCTAATCACACCCTTAAGAACAGCTGCATACATTAATATCCTTCTTAGGGAGACATTATCCATGTTATTGAAAGCTAGAAGCAAGAGTCTTTACTTTAGAGTTCCCTAGGTTTTTGAAATGGTGTTCATCAACTGTGACTTGTCATTTCACTGAATTGATCTGAGCATTCGAAGCTGTTACCATCAAGAATATTTATAAACTGTATATGAATGATAATTCTGCTGAAGTGATGTGAATGATACCTTAGGTAACATCAACCAATTTAGGTATGGAGCTGAATCCTTTTTTATGCCAAAACTTTGTATAATCTTACAGAAACCACTAATGATTTGAGTAAACAAAGAGCTGTTTAGATCAAAAGTATTTTTCTCCAAAGCCAAACAGAACAGTACTATGTAAATAAGAGCTTAAAACGTCAAATACCTCGTGTTACTCAGGTTGGACAGTGAAATGAAGTGTGAAAGTAAATGTTACACATTGTTAGTAGAGTGGCTATATAGCAATGTGGAGAGTTGGAGTGGTCTCCTTTCGGTGATGATGCTTCCACCTCGTGCTATTGCTTGAGTGGTTGAAGCAAATGTGTGTGTTCTGTAATGCTGTGCAAAGGGAGCTCTGATTTTGGGTGAGAAGCTTCGTTACTAGCAATGGACATGCTCTGACGCAATTTTTTAATCTTCAGGGTTAGTAAACAAAGATTTTCATTTTGGTTTAAGAAGTCATTTTTTTCTAAGCAGTATGTGATTTCATCTGATGTTTTGTTTTTTTTTTTTACCGTCGACATTTGAAACTTGATAAAAAAAAAACCAACCCAACAACTCAGAGTTTTATGGGCAGCTTTTAAAATGCGAAAATTAGCAAAACTGTTAAAAAAATAGTCTCTTTGTTTAAAAAATAGTATCCTATAATGCCATATGGAAAAAGCATCTTAGGAAAGCAGTTATCTAGATTTAAACCTTTCTTTCATTGTTGTCCCCCAGACATGGAAATACTAAGCATGAGATTGATCAGTGAGACTAAAGCAACCTAATGGAGTTCTTTATCCAGAATTTCTGTTAGTAGTTTTATCAGAGTAATACATATTGCTTATTCTCAGTGTTTTTTGGTTGGTTTTTTTTTTGTTTGGTTGTTGTTTTTTTTTTTGGGGGGGGGGGGGGGGTTCACACCTCTTTTCCCCCAAGCTTTTTCGTACTTAGGCTCTTTATGAGCTACCCAAATTCCATCCATGTGGACTTAAATTCTGGTAAGATGGCAACTGCTGTCTTCATTTTAGATTAGAACACTATTTAAAAGAAATTAAGGAAACAATAGCTTATGCCATCTTTTTTCATACATGTTTTTGTTACTCCTGAAACTCATTCATCTGTTAGAGTCCGTCCCCTCCAGCAAAAATATTTTAGCCTTTTCTGATCATTCATTGATCACTGTCTAATATGAAACTCCTAAACATAAATGTAATATTGAGCACTGATAACACTGTTCAGTCATAAACTTCAAAGTACTTAAGAGGCTTCAGTTAAACCTTCCATGACCACTGTAAGATCTTTTGTTACCTTACTCCTTTGGTGCCTACATGAACTGAGTGCCATATCTGGTGATTGAAAGAGTTTAATATTGAATGTTATTTCAAACTTAATTTCAGGAGTACTGATCTAAGAACTAGTGTGACAGCACTTCTGTTGTAGCATCTATCCTGCAAGATGTGCCATTGGAAAAACTAATTTGAATTGTTAGAAGGCTCTTAAGTGGTGAAGTGCACTGTCACCTATCTATTTGTGGCATTGATAGCTTTCATCCACTGTGAGAGTAATTCTGTAAATAGTGGCAGTGATTACTAATCTTAGTTTAGAAATAGTAAATCTTTCATTGAAATGCTCCCTCTGACTTTCTGGCCTCTGCTGATGTGCATGCTACCTATTTCACTATGGCACTGGTCTTGTTTTCTCCTTCTGAGATAGCCAGTTCAGATGACAGTGTTAGGAAGAGCAGTTGGAGGCTTAATGATGGAGAGATTTAATAATCATCCGGGCTCACACATGTTAAAGTAATGCACAGTCCCTGAGCAGGCCACCCTCTCAAGGAAATGCTAACACTAGTGCTATAAAAAAAATCCACTGATAAATTTAAAACATACTGCCTTCGTATGGCATGCAATCAAAAGCTGGTGGCAGTAACACAGTAGGGTTCTTAATCACTTCACTGTTACTGTTGTGCTCCTGCTGTCATACTTCTGGAGCTTCATTTGCTAATTTGTTGGACAGAATGCTTAAGCAACTTGTACTGTTTCCAACTTCTTTTGTACTAAGAGTATGTGTAGTATAATATTAGACTCCTAGATAGTAAAAGGGAGGATTGAAAGAATTTACTACGTGTTTTTGCAGCACCATGTGGAACATACTTTTATGGGTGTCAAGAGGCTTAAATCTGTTTGGGTTTTTTAAATTTAGTTTGCTTGTGGGAATTTAACTCTTGTTAAGCTGAACATGATAGGAAACGCTGGGTAAATTAGGGAACGTACCTTCTCAAGCTGAATAGATTACTTAAATACTCTAGGAATAACAGTGTAGCATAGAGCTGCCAGCACTGCAGCTCAGTATTGGTATTCTGCAACTGTAAAATCTGACCACTAGCTATGTCTAGCTGGAATGTTAAGCCAGTGGTGGCTGCTTAGTATTAAGTTGTAGTGGTGTTTGCCTGATGTACTGTAGCTAGAAAGGTGATCTCTTGGGAAAGGGGGGGGGGCCCCCCCCCCAATGGTAGTAAAAAATTGTGTAGTAAACAAAAGGCATCTTTTTAATTCCTTTCCGTATGGATCATACAAGTAGAATTTTGCCATGATGAGTCTATTTGTTCTGGTATGAACTGGAATTTTCTTCCCTCTCTGGTGATCTTCCACAACAAAAGTGTCTTTTTATTTCAGCTGCTGTCATATGATTCTTTCATCCATTTCAACAAAAGATCTTCGAAATTAAAATTACTTGGGGTTTTCGTTTTGTTCACATGGGAGGTAACATAAAAGTGTACTTCTAGAATGAAGTTTGCTCAAACCCACAGAAACCTGCAGAAAACTGCAGAAAAGGGTTGTGGTTGACATAAAGTTAGAACACGGTTTAGCAGTGCACCCTTGTGGCAGCAAAGGCTAACGGCACACTGGGCTGTAGTAGAAGTGTATCCGGCAGAAAGTTACTATTATTCCCCTCTCCTTGGTAGTCTTGAAGATACATCTGAAATACTTTGTTCACCTTTTGGTCCCGCAGTCTGACAGAGGTGGTAAAAAACCGACTCCAGCAAAGAGGAAATGAAGAGGCTCAGGAAGGTGGAAGAGCTGGCCTATGCAGCAAGGTTATGGGAGGTAGGCTGCTTTAGTGTTCAAATGAGAAGACTCAAGGGAAACCTAAAGGCTGTCTTCCACAGCCTGAAGGTGTAGGGAGTTCATGCAGAAGGCAGATCCGGATGCTTTTCAGAGGAACATGGTGAAAGGGCAAGAGGGAACAGTGCGAAGTTGCAAGAAGGGACATTCCAGCTGGGCATAACTTTAACAAATCATTACTGTTTTGACTGAGCAATTAAGTGCTGTTTTTAAAAGCATCTTCAAAGCTTTGCGTCAGGATTTTCAAAAAGTGCATAGATAATTAAAAAGATGACAGTTCTTAGAGTGCTGCAATGAAATGTCATTGTGCTTCCAGTTCTGATCCATCTCTGCAGAAGGGAGAAAGAAAATTACCTACATTTAGCTTATTTTTTTTTTTTTTTAACTAGAAAGCAGACAACTCAGGAAAGTGAAAAGGAAGTTCAAGAAAGATTAATGATACTAGGCACTCCCTTAAAATTAAAATCCCAAATGCATGCTTATGTTCATAATAGCAGGGAATGTAATCTTCCAGTTAACTGGTAACATTCGGGCTGTGTAGAAGAGCAGGCATGTGCTGGTTTTAATTTAAACTGTGTAATAGAAATCATACGTATTAAGCTGCATCTTGATTAAAATATATTTTGTTAAAATAGTTGTGTGATAATACCCTAAGTGGTTAACTCAAACTTTCTGGTTATACTTTCATATTTTAATGTTGGCAGGTGGAAGTTTTCCTCAGGTTCTTGTCTTTGTGCTACTAAAATTATCGCTCACTAAAGATGCATCCAGACCTGTCTCCTCATCTGCACACTGAGGAATGTAACCTAATTATCAGTCTGCTCAAGAAGTGTCATAAGGAGGTAAGGAGTTTTGAGCAGAGTGAAGAGTGGGTGGGTTGGGGAAATGAGTGTCAGATAAATTAATAAGAATATTGTATGATCATAGAGAGAAAAACCTCCTCTAGGCAGAACAGCCATGAAATATAGCTAGTATGTTTTCACTGACAACTGTGTGTAAAATTTTGGTAGTGATTTCTGTAGGAAATAAAACATGCCTTAAAATTCCCTGTGCTACAGCATGACAAGTCTATCTTAAGAAATGAAATCACTTCTGCACCTTTTAGTTCTCTGTGCCTCTCAAAAAACAGTAATACACCAACTTGAAATGCCCTCATTTTGTATGCTCCAATATTTCCATATTTCAGCTGTCCACTGGGCAGATGCTTCAATCTGTTTATAAGCAGATGCATTAATGGGGATCTGGACATGCAGCAATGCCTTACATTCAGTGCTTGGAGAGCTAAATGAGAATTACTGTTTGACTTACATCTTCGTAATAAGCAGCTACCCAAGGATGTAAAATGCCAAATTGTCTTCAGGCTTCTCAAGGCTCTTTATTGCTTCAAGAAGACAAAGATGGAATCTTCATTTCACTTATTTAAAAGCCTTTTTTCTAATTTGCTCTGTAGTAAACCTCTAGATGTAGCAGAGCCAGCTGTATTAAGTGTATGAGTTAACTTTTCCTCTGAGTTCTAAAATCTCAATTTCTTTAAAAATGGTTTAGGTTAACTTGAGAGACTGCAGAGACTCATCTTTTTTCCTCTTCTTCTTCTTTTTTTTTTTTTTGCATTAACTACTGTAGATTAAAAGGATTGCCAAGTAAAATGACTGTCAGTTATAAAGAAACTAAAACCTCTATAGGTAATATAAATTAAAATATTGTCATTAATTTTTCATAATTGTGAAACAAACCCAATCAGGAAAGAAAATACACTCAGATGTGTCTTGCTTTTTGGTACATACATAGCTGGCCTTGCTATGTTTTGACTAGAGAATCTAGAAATATTCATATACTACTTGAAAGTAATGATTGACTTGTTTTTTAACAAGGAATGCTAATATGCAAGTATAGGTGTTTTATATAATGTAGCTTATTAGTCTGCCTTGAGTTTGACAGGGCACTAGAACTAAGTGGTGTATCTGAATTCCTTGGCAGCAAGTGATTCAAAGGCATTTACTGCCAGTTTGACTTCTGAAGTCAAATTGCTGGACTAGGACCAGCAATAACAGAGTCATACACAGGATTGTATTCTTTTGGTCTTGTTTGAAGTTAATCTTTACATGAAGAGGAATTACATTTGTCAGTCTTATGCTCAACTATAAGAGGGTCTTTGTGCTATCAGTCTCGGAACAGGAAGAGTGAAAATGGCGTCTTTCACACTCACTGGAAAGGAAGTGATACCTTTTTGTTTAAAATTCAAGGGGAATGTACTAAAATATTCTTTTAAAATTGAAGTCACTGAAATCTGTAGTCAGTGAACGTAATTAGTTCAGTTACTGCAACCTATTTTGTTATAATGCCAACATGTCCAAAAAAGCTTCATCTGCAATTTAAATTAATATTCCTGAGAGACAAAAAGCTTTATTTTTTAATTGAGTGTCCTGTGTGTGCATTTTCATAACAGTCGGTTTGATTTATTTCTAATCTAGAACCTGCCCATTATATCAAGTTTTGCATCTACTGAGGAGAGGTTGATGGGATTCCTATTTGATGTCACTATTTTGATTTGTTTGTTTGTTTTAATAATTCTCTCTTGTATGAAGTGCATGCTTTAAAGAGACTTGTTTGTATAGGTGGCTAATGAGAGAAATCCTTATTGTCTTGCAATCATATCACTGTATTGGCATAATAATTATTTTTGAGAAACCTACTCTTTTTTCCTGGTAATCTCAGCCAAAAAGTTGACAATTTAGGAATCTGGCTAAATAAGCTTAGAACCATAGAATGGTTTGGGTTGGAAAGGACCTTATGATCATCTAGTTCCACCCACCCTGCCATAGGCTGGGATACCTCACACTAGACCAGGTTACTGCAAGCCCCATCCAACCAGACCTTGAACACTGCCAGGGATGGAGCATTCACAACTTACTTGGGCAACCTGTACCAGTGCCTCACCACCCTCACAGTAAATAACTTCTTCCTTATAGCTCACCTCAACACCCTCAAGTCCTTCTTTGCAGGGCTGCTCTGAATCTCTTCTCCCCTAAACCTGTAGCTGTGCCTGGGATTGCTCTGACCCAGATGTAGGACCTTGCACTTGGCATGGTTAAACTTCATAAGGTTGGCGTCAGCCCACCTCACAAGCGTGTCAGGGTCCCTCTGGATGGCATTCCTTCCCTCCAGCATATCAACCAAACCACACAGCTTGGTGTCATCGGCAAACTGCTGGGAGCGCACTCAATCCTACTGTCCATGTCACTGGCAAAGATGTTGAACAAGACCGGTCGCAACACCGACCCCTGAGGGACACCACTCGTTACTGGTCTCCAGCCAGACATTGAGCCATTGACCACAACTCTTTGTGTGCGGCCATCCGGCCAGTTCTTTATCCACTGAGTGGTCCATCCATCAAATTGATGTCTCTCCAATTTAGAGACAAGGATGTTGTGTGGGACAAGTTGCTTTGCACAAGTCCAGGTAGATGACATCAGCTGCTCTACCCCGTCTGTCAGTTCTGTAGCCCCATTGTGGCTACATTCTGAAGGCCAGCAAATTGGTCAGGCAGGATTTCCCCTTAGTGAAGCCATGCTGGCTGTCACCAAGCACCTTGCTGTTTTTCATGTGCATTAGCTTGCTTTTCAAGACAATTTGCTCCGTGATCCTGCCAGGCACAGAGGTGAGACTGACTGGTCTGTAGTTCCCTAGCCTGTAGTCTTCCATTTTCCCCTTCTTGAAAATGGGGGTTGTATTTCCCTTTTTCCAGTCATTGGGATCTTACTCAGAACTGACTTCCTATTTATATATCCCATCTGTAGGTATGTTAGGTGGACAGAGCAAACCTTCCCCCAGACTGGAAAGGAGTAATCTGGCAGCAGTATTGGAAACAGCAGTGAAAGCTCTCAATGAACAGAAGCAATACTACAGATATCCTCGTTACCATAACCTCTGGCTCAGGTTTGTGAGTGAAGTTGGAAACTTCACCTGACCGCCATGGTTTTTCAAATATGATGGATAGTGGCTTAGCAACTTCATTTGCTAGCTCCTTCAGGGCCCTTCAGGATGGATGGATTTCATCAGGTCCCATGGACTTTGCACGTTCAGGTTCTGAAGATGATCTTGAACCTGATCCTCTCCTACAGTGGGCCTAAGGTCTTCATTCTCGTAGTGTCTGCATCTGCCTTCCAAGACTTGGGCAGTGTGGTCAGAGCATTTGCAGTGAAGACTGAGGCAAAGAAGTCATTGAGAACCTCAGGCTTCTCCAAATCCTGGATAGGCAGTTCTCCCTCTTCCTTGTGGAGACAGCCCACATTATTCCTAGTCTGTCTTTTGTTTGCTACATACCTATAGAAGCCTTTCCTGTTATCTGTGACATCCCTGTCCAGACTCAATTCTAACTTGGCCTTAGCTTTTCTGACCTGGTCCCTAGCTTCCCAGACAATGTCCCTGTATTCTTCCCAGGCTACCTTCTATAAGCTTCTTTTTTCTTTCTAAGTTTTCTTAGCAGTTCCTTATCTATCCATGGAGGCCTCCTGGCTCCCCTGCTGCATTCCCTTCTAGTCAGGATGCAACACTCCTGAGCTTGGAGCAGGTGATCCCTGAACATCAACCAACAGTCTTAGGCCCCCTTGCCCTCTAGGGCTTTATCTCATGGAACTTTATTGAGCAGGTTCTCTGCTCTCTTGAAGTCCAGGGCAGTGAACTTGCTGCATGCCCTTCTCAGTGTCCTGAGCATCAAGAATTCCAAAACACAGATTCCAAAACATATATTCCAGAACACATATTCCACTCACTGTATGCACTAATAAGAGAGGAGTTAGTTTGAAATATAAACATTCACCTTGAAATGTAACGTGCAGGTAGGGGAACAGAATACAAAATGAAATCTATATTAGATAAAATGAAAATGATATAAAAGCAAGATCAGCTTGCAGTAAAGCGACCATTTATCACATGCAACTGCTTCAGAGTGTCATTTGATGCCATTTATACAGCAGAGAGGTATAAACAAGGTAATTATAGCACTGCTACAGTTAAGTGTTTGTCACAATATTTATTAACCAGGTCCTACTTTCAATCATGATGAAATCTTGTCCACTGTTTGAATTCTTAACAGTGTTCCTGTATTGGTTGTGTAAATCCATCTAGCTGCTCATCAACTAGATGTGCATGTTTCCCTCCTAAATGCAGAAGTGACTTCATTCTCATCTGTTTTGTTCTTCATGGCCTTTCCTCCCACTCCCCCAGATTCATTAGCTCTTTAAAAGATTGGTTGATTCTCTATTGATTGTGTAGCTGCAAATACCTACTAAAACCTCCACTCTTTCATGTCTTCTGAATTGCTTGGATGAATGGCTCTGCTACCAGATTCTGCTATGACATACTGTGGCATGGTAGCAACCATCACTCTGAGAAAGTATTCCTTTGGGAAGACTGCCTTCTGAGGGTGATTTGATGGCTGGTAATACAGAATTGCTCCAGGAAATCCTGGTGAAGAGGACAGATGTTTATGGTGGATATCAAGTTAGGGTGGAATGTCTTCATGAGGATATGCCTGCAGTTTTTCAGAAACTAAGTAACACTTAAGTATGCGTAAGGCCTACAGTTGAACTGTGTCAGAAAGATGGTAAATGCATCTTATTTATTAACCTTAAGATTTGGAGAAATTTAATCCCCCATTTTTAATACTAGTTTTAACATTTCAGTCATTTAAACCTAGTACCTGCATCTTCTGGACCAACACTACATTCTGTGTGTGGTTGGGATGATGGAGCATCAAGTCCCTTGTTTCTTTAGATCATGAGGAAATAATGAAAACTAAAGCAGAGAGGACACTGCCTCCAGGATGCCTGTATATACAGATGTTTCTGTATCACAGATTGGAGTTCAGAATATTTATTTTTTATATGTTACTCAAGTTAGTGTGAGCAAAAGTTTTAAGACTGATTCCTAGATCAGTAAAATATATGTTCAACATTTAGGCTCCCTAGGTTCAGTTTAGGTATCTTGTTTTTGTCTGATTGTACAGCATGGTGAGTACCTTCAACTTTCAGCAGTGTGGGGGTAACTCACATGAGGTTCAGGAGTAGCTCCAATTTGTAGTTACTGAAGTGACAAAGCATCACTTTCTACAAAAGGAGAAAATGTAACTTCTAAGAAATTTAGAGCTTCAGAGCTCCAAACTCTTCATTTACATTTTGTTTCTTCATTTACATTGAATTGTAAATGTTTGGGTTTTTTTTTTTCCTCTCCCTAACTTACCAGCACAACATTTTGAAATTTTTTGGCCACTGCAATGATATCGATCGTGAGATGCGGAAGTGCTTAAAGAAAGAGGTAAGAAACACATCTACCAGTTAAATGCTTAATAAAAAAACAAAGTCCATGGTGTAGACATAAAGTTGATTTTTACTAAGTAGTACGATCAATAAATGTAATCACATACTGGAGTGGGCATCTGAGACTAAAATTAAACTGTCTCTGATACATTTGTCAGGTAAAATCTGGCTTTAACAAATGGCATGGTCTGGTTTGCATATACAAAAATAGGCAAACACACATTTTAACTGGCATTTGACAGGCTGCTTCTGAATTTTATTTTTTTAGTAGTAGTATTTGCACAGAACAGAATATAAAGCAATAATGGTCCCTTCTGCATAAGTAAGACTTGTTACTGAAGTCAGTTATACTGACTGAAACTACCTGATGAGTTGATGAGTTGGGCTCTAAATGAAAATATTGCTGCTTAGTACCTACTTATTGCTGTACTACATCTACAGATATAAAGGAATGGAAGCCTTTACGAGTTTAAGCAGATTCACTGGCTAATGGGCACATTTTCAGAAGAGTATCAACGGGTTTTTGTATTCGTGGTTGTCATGCCTATATGACCAAACACATAAATTAACTTTTCACACACCTTTTAACTTCAAATTGTACTAACTGATTTTGACGTAAATTTCACAATTGTATCTAAAAAGGGAAACTTCAAGTGCATGATAGCCAGAACAGTTTCGGCCCCCCTTTTCCCTCTGTCAGTTTACAGGAGTTAATTTCATCTGCTTGTGCCAAATACCTTTTTATTTCCCCTGTAGCACAGATCTGGAAAATAAGTTTCTTCCCATGTAATCTTATTTTTCATTGTTCCATTGAAGCCTTTGCATTAAAAGGAGTTCTTGATGTTGCCTATATTTGTCTGTCTTCTTAAAATATAAATTGATTTGCCATGAGTAGGAAGCCCCTGAAAGGCTGCTTGTAAGTTTAGAATAGGTACAGATCTAACTTTTAAATATCCATTGTTCTCATTCTATGTAAAAACATGGATGGGTTATTAAAAAATTAAATACTGGCATGGGAAAAAGTTAAGCATTGTTTTAATGTTAAATAATGTTTCAAGCCATTATTTCAGGTATAAACCAATCAGCATACTGGGTGAAAATCTGCAAATCATTTCCAGAGTTAATCTCCTTAGTAGTTTATTACATTATATAGAGTGTACTGAGTATTTGTGGGTTACTTGGGCTTTATTCTTGATACCAGTTATTAAAAAGTTGAACAAATGTGTACTTTAAGGTCAAGAATAACTTGCTTCTCATGAAATGTATCTATCAGATCATGCATTGATTTTTAATTCTTCATTTCTTTTAGCCATGAAAAAGTCTCCTTTTTGGCTGTAGTGAAAGAAAGTTGGGCTTTCAGTTTTCAGGCTTTTGCTAGTGCAGGGGTGTACTTGAAGTATGGCTGTCTTAAATACATACCTAAACTGTGAAGGGTCTGATTCCATTTTACACTGGAGTCCTGTCTCTGTTGTGTTTCTTTTTCGAAACATAAAATGAGCCCCTGAAATGTCCTACCTTCATTCAACCCAAATATGTCTTTCTTCCTTTCATCTTGGTATAATACTTTATCTGTGCATATAACTAATGACCAGGATCAAAACCAGACCAAGTCTGTGATGACAGACTCATGTTTCAGAAGGCAGACGAGCTAATCAGTATCTTTTAAAAGCTAAAGAGGCTGACCTGTGTTCTGGAATAGCAGCAATATAACTTTTTTTCCAAGTTCATGTGTGAAATGTAGCTGTCATACATAAAATGGCTAAGTTCCTCCATAAAATTAAGTGGATCTTCTTTATTGGAGCATTCTAATACTCTTTAGTTTAATAATCTTAGAGACATGTTTTTTAATCAAATAAATGTTAATTTCAAAGTGAAAATGAACCAATATATAGATATCAATAAGAACTGCATTTCTAGTCCATCAGTCAAAGATATATTTTCTGTTCTTGAGTAATAAACTCTCTACACTTTTAAACTGGACTTGTCTGCTTAATGATGACAGCTGATCTATTAATTTCCTTGTCTGTCTTCCAGTATGAAGAGAACAGGGCCAGGAACCAGGCGAAGCGACGGAGTATAATTAATGCTCGGAAAAACCTGGAGAAGTGAGTGGTTCTGTAGCTGGACAGCTGCACCTCAACAGGGATGCTCAGTTGGAAATTGACAGAATACTTCCTTCCCATCACCAATGTTCAGCCTGCAGTTTGTGAAAAAATAAGCACACCTGATACATAGTCATTCCCAGCAAGGCAAACAATGTGGAAAAAATAAATATAATAAAAGATTTATTGCAGGTTAATTTTTGATCTGTAGAGGAAAATGTTGTGGCAAGTGTTTGTTCTGGCACAGTTTTGTTACAATCGCTAAGTAAGGAGGAATCGGTGTGTGTGGAGTATTTATGTATTCAGTGCTGCTATATTCCCTACATTGTGCTGAGTTGCATTTATTTCTTGATGTTTAGCAGTTTCTTTTCCGTATCTTGTTTTTTGTTGTTTTTTTTTTGCCCTTGCAAAACACTGAATTACTTTTTTCATCATTCTTTTTAGTGTTTTGATAACACTTCTTCAATGAATTAGTAGAAGACATTTTAAACAGATGTGGCTTGAAATTGCAAATTGCCTATCAAGTAATAATTGGAGTTTTAGTATTTTTATTTGACTTCAAATGACGAAACTACTGTCTTCCAGAGAAGACTAGAAATCCTTCCTGCCAACCATATGTACACTGTACGCTGTTGTAAGACAATTTGTTCATCATACCCAAAGCAAGCAGCTTTAGAAATTCAGAATGGAACATTTCCAGGGATTTACAAAGCTTTGCCTTGATTTTTGTTAAGTACAATCAATGTGTGCTGAGTGATTTTTGAACAGGAGTGCTCCCAGAAATATAAGCTGAATAGTTCCTCCACATACTCTGGTACAAAGGTGAATTCCTTTGCCATTGAAGGAAAACTCGCACTGAAGTGAAAGGAAGTGCATCTTGCCTTTTAGCTGGGCAAGTCAACAAGTACTGTGTTAACCAAGGTACCTCATTAGCTTACAAGAGCTGTTTATTTCCCATCAAACTACAGAAAGTCCTCAGCAAGTCTCTGAATTCTGAAGATTCGATATTATATGCTGGGTTGTGCAGCAATGGAGCTGCTTCTCTCGGTGTCTGCTGGGTTCACCTTATTTTTAAATTACTTTTCTGTTCCACCTAGCAGCAAAAGAATGTTTAAAAGAAAAAAAAAAACAACAACCCAACAAATTTTATGGAGCCAAATATACCAAGTGTCTTGAAACCTTGGAAAAAAAAGTGCCTATTCTACAATGAATTCTATGGTTTGTTGCAAGAACCAGTGTTGACATTGTCTTGAAATTAGTACATGCACCTCTTTCTGGAAGAAAGCTGTATTTTGTGACCTATTTTGAGAGATTAATTAGAATAATTTTACTTATTTTTTCAATACCGGGATGAAACCAGTTGAATTGGTAAAACTTAACCACAAATATCAGTGAAAGCTCTTTAAGAAAAACTGAAGCAGTTGTTTCTGCATCTTTTCATGTGCTGCTTTCTTAGAACAAGTAAATAATGCATTTTTTGAATTAAATACTTTAGTGGCTGGAAGTGGAGCAGTCTTTGTATTGGTAGTCTTCAAAATACTTTTGAAGCGTATTTTATAGTGAAGTTCCCTAGCTGGGAACTCTGCGTCCTCGATCCTTCTTCCATTTGGATGACAAAATCTATTTCAGGCAAGCTCTTAAATAGGATTTGGTTGTGCTTGTAATCTTTAAGTAAATAAATAAATGGAGAATTGTCCCAGAGGTTGGGTTGAAAAGCGGATACCTGAGTGCTGAAGCACTGAAGATTTTCTTTCTTTCATCAGCTTCTGTGAGTCCAGGTCTTTCAGTAGAATAGCAACAAAGTAAGTATTCAAGAGCCACTTAACACAGCTCATTAGTCAGAATCATGTTTTCAGAGATCAATGCACTTAATGAATGAAAGCACAAATGGCACGCACAATTTCTATTGCTACTTTGAACTATGTTTAGCAATAAACCTATTTTACAGATGAACTGTTTACCTAGTGAAAGTATTACCATGTTCATCCTCCTGCTTCTTTGCTAATTGCCTACTAGTAGTGTAGTATGAGATTGCTCATTGATTCCTGAGCTTTTGTTCCTTTTCTTTTTGAGAGGGGGAGTTACGTTGCTAATTTGATCTTGAAGCTGAGACACAGTAGTGTAATAATGCTTACAATTTACTTGACAGAGAACAAAGATAAGGGTGAAATGCTAAATGCAGTTTATGTTGTCCTAAAGTAAGCTGAGTGATGAGTAGGGGATGTGTTGGAGAAAGTAAACTTTATCTGTAATGACTTTGAAGCCACTTTATTGTAATGTCATTTGAGTATAGAAGTATTTTACCCATTGTGCCTTCTGAAAGAGCAAGTCTGAGACAGAAGAAAAAGAAGAAATTCAATGGCATTTTGTGTTGTGTCGTGTATGAGGAGCTCCTTGGCACTTCACGTGGGAAAGTGGAGATGGGGGAATTACAAAGAGTGGGCAAATGGCACCTGTAAAACAGACCTGGCCACAGCAGTGAGGTTTTTCCATGTTCAAATGCTGCAAAAGTATAGAATAATACACGGACAAGAGGAATACAGAGCAAGGGAGTGATAACTACCCAGCAAAATCTCTTCAGCTCTACCAGAAACACTTGGTAACACTATTGGTGTGTATTTTCTCTTGCTAGAAAATGAAATGCTGGCATCTTGTTTTCCCTTTTTTTTAGAAGCAAAGATATTATGCTCAATAGCAGCAGCATAATGTAAGTACAGCAGGGCTAGTTCTTGCACTGCTGTTTAGGTCTGCCTGCGAAGATGACTGTCCTGGTGCTCAATTCTGCTAGGAATAGCTTGAAACATTAGTTGTCTGTCAGGGGAAATTAATGTGAGAGATATTTCAGTGAGTGCTCAGTGCTTGCCATGAATTAACCGAGGACACCCATCACTGGCAGCAAGTGCCCTGGCGCAGCGCAGCTGTACTTCACCAGCACAATACAGAGGGTAGGCAGCACCTATTGCATGTATGACATTCCACGCTGACAGGGAGACAAGAACTCAGCACATTACTATCTTTAAATAATTATCCATCTTTATCCTTCAGCTGTGATTTCTTGACATTAATAAATTGGTGAAAAGCTGTAACACTGGCTTTCACGTATCATTTCTTTATACCATTTCACATCTCATTTATGGCTTGTATCTCTTTTCCCTTGTTTTGGGCTTTTTGGTATCAAGTGGCTAAAACATGCCATACTTGCATGGTTCTTTGTATACCAGGATTTGAATCCAGTTTGACTCTTAAGCTGCAGCACTGAGTGTTAATATATCACGAATATACTGTTTGTCTTCCCGTTTCACTCTGGTTGGTATCACCCTCAAGGAATTATGGCAGAGGGAGCTGGGGTAATTGCTCACAAACAGAGCGATGAGCTGATGGTGAATTTCATAGGCGTGCGTAACCCCCTGAGTATCAAGGTGTACTCAGAAAACTGTAAGAAATGTAATCTGGGTACACCACAGGACTGATTCACGTGAATAGCTATTACTAAAATATGCAGCAGGAGAGTTAGTTGTTCCTAGTGTAATTGTGAATTATTGCAACGAGTATTTCCAATGCGTTGTTCACTTTGCTAGAAGTCTGCATCTCATGAATACAGTGTCCTCAACAGTCAGGAATCTCTTGGTGTTGGTTGCATGACATCTAATAGATTTTTTTTTGTACAAATGAAAACCCATTTCTGTGGAATACCTAAAATAATACGAACAACAGCAAAACTGTGATACCTAAATCTAACAGCTTAATTAAAAATTAATTAACACTTGCGCTTAAGCAAAGGGGATTCTCTTCCTGGACAACATAATGGATTTTACTAAATCCATTAAAGCCATTTGGGCTTTCATTCATTAGTGTACACTAAAGTTACTAATTTGATTTTATTAGCATTGACTAAAATAGAGTATCATAGCAAATCTTAGTGGTCCCTTTAGATTCTCTCTTTATTTTACAGAGCCTTTCACTTGTAATTTGCTAATTCTAATTCTGCCTGGCATTGCAGGAGGAGCCTGTCCTCTTTCTAGAGGTTTGCTCATCAGTCAAGGTAAATAGGTGTTGCTGTAACTGAGGCCCAGTGGTAGCATGCTGCTCATCAACAGAATCTGCTTCGTGGGAAATGATCTACTATTAAAATCTTTTGAGTGAATTTGCACCAGGTTCCCCAAACCTATTTAAATTGCTGTGTACCAAAAAATACATCAAGGGGAACATATACCTTCAGCCTAAAAATGGTTCTTGTTAACGGTCATGCTTTAAAAATTATTCTTTTTTTGAACATTTGGTGACATTTTAAAGGCTGTGAGCTGTGAAATGGAGCGATCACTTTAACCACTGAGGTTTTACTCTTTTTCTGTGGACCCCTAGATGAAACAAGCCACATCTCAAAAGGTTATCTGTGCAGAGAGATCTTCGGGGCATTCATTACCTGGGAAAGATCTTTCTGATGGCTTGACAAAACTCATCCCCGGCACAGACACTGGCCATCCAGAATCTTGCAAAACCTGGGACTAAAAACTGTTCCTGACCTTTGCTGCCAGCAACTCAGGGCAAGACTGGAAGTAAATACATGAAACTTTAAGCTGATTTCTCCTACCGTGCTCGGCTGCAATGGCTGTTCCCCGCACTCAGATAACTGCTGTTTTTATTTGCTAAAAGTTTTCTTTGAAGTTAGTTATTACCGACGTGACGTTTTGCCTAGTGAACGCAAGCGATGGCTGCACTTCCATCCAGGCGGCCTCTGAGCCCTTCCTTCACAGCCCGCAGGGAAGAGTACTGGGAATTTCCAGGCCTTTTCCCTCGCGTTGCTGCTCGCTGCCTCACGCTGCCCATCACTGGCCGGCAGCCGTTCTTAGACCAGCCGCAGGGGCAGGCCGGCGGCCGGCACCGAGCTCTATAGCGCGGCCCCCGATGCCTCCTGCGCCCGCCTCAGGCCGAGCCGCCGCTGCTCGGCGCTGCTCGCTCACGCCGCCCGCTTTGGCCGGCACCAGCCGCGACCGTGCCCAAACCCCGCCACCCAACCCGCCGGTCGCTCCCCGCGCAGCGGCACCCACCAGCGCCGCCCAGTGGCCGCGCGGTCCGGCCGGGAGCCAGCGGCACGGGGAGGGGGGTCGGTGTGGCCGGGCGCCATCTTGTAGGGGTCGTGCGGGGATGCCGGGCCTGGCCGTAGGCCCTAGTCCCTGCTGGTG